ATACCTAGCTGAAAATTTTTTAAGGCCAGACACTTGCCACTAGAAATAGTTCCATAATAAACACAAGTAATATTAAAATGGAAAGACTGGCAGAGGGTGTCTTTATACTTTCTAACAAGATCTAATCAGGTGTTGTCTTTTTGGAGTCTTTGAAAAGCATGCTATTTTTTATTTGTCAAGGAAGCTCCAAACTTGCTGTTCTGACAAAAATTTCTGATAGCAAACAAGTGAAGTTGCAGGCGTTGCCTGGTGTAATACCTGTATTTGGATTTCTGCATACCAATAGAGTTACCTAACTTTAGGTTTGAAAATCCAGCCCTTGCTGTTTACAGCTTTATATTTAAAAAAAGCCATCCTAGCAGTGAATTGCAGAAATAAAGTCATAAATCTCTTCAGTGAAATAAGGAAGTTTATTTTCTTCTTAATGGGGAAATTCATCAATAATGGAAGCTTTCAGTGACTTGTTTTTTCCAAACAGAATTTTAAACAGAAACATGTTCTTGCATAGAGGCTGCATGTTTAAGATAGAGGGTGTCTTCAAAATGACCGTCACCCCCGCACGGGTGGCACTGTGCCTTACCCAAATGAGCATGGCCATGAGTGTCACTGCCAGCGACTAGAATTAGTGTTTGGAAAGCAGTTGGTGCATTTTGACATGGCTAAATCACAAGAAGATAAATTAAAGGGAGAAGAGGCAACACAGTGTGTTTACTGGTCCAGACCACTCTCCTGTGGTATTGATAAGAAACCCGAACCTTGGGATCTACCTTGAGGAAATTTTATCTGTTGAAGTGACTGGTTAGGTTAGCATGTTATATGTGGATATCTACGTATCTTTTTGACATCCTTGCAATCTCATAGCATTGTAAATAATTTTTTGTAACGGGCACATTGCAAGCAAAATAGTCTCCTTTCAGGTTAAACTCCCTTATCTCTTGGTAGGTACTTTCTGTAAAAGAGCTTCCAAACTAAACATTAGAGCTTAAAATTTCTGTGCGCAAGTACAAGTCTCTTTCTCATGCTCCACAAATGTATTCTTTTTACACTGGAGAGTGGATATGTATTAAGAGCTCAGGAACTTAAAGATATATTTTGTGATGTATAAGCCTAGCAAAATATTTTAAATCAGTGATACTGGATGGAGGTTATGCAGAAATCCAATTAAACTTATGAAATCCCTATCCCGTTGAAGTCTAATTTAAAGGAAAGCAGTTCTGTTTCCCAGAAGTGCTGCGTATAATATTTCTGGCTAGGGAAGAAAGGGTTGGAGTGTGCTATTTGGCTGGAAATCGGTACCAGCTTCCTTCATGGTGTTTTAGTTGAACAGTGTTGACATTCTAACAAATCCCATGGAAGCTCCCCTGAAGTGGAGGAGTTAGCTGTTTTCTTGCTTTTACAGTGAAATATCTGTTTGATACCGTGATCGTGTTCCAGAAAACCAAGCTGTACTGCCTTCATATTTGATGACCAGTGGCATTCTTGGTTTAACACCCTATAGAAGCCCTAAATTGCTGGAGGAAAACCAAATATTTCTAAAACTTTACTGCTACTGTATTTCTCACAATCATTAAAGTAAACAAATCTTACATTACTATGTAGCCAACGAAAACAGTGGATAAAGGGTTCAGTGTCCCTTGTTGTATATACCTGCTTTTTTAAAAAATAAATCTTCAACCCAGATTTCTCAGAGCTTTAAAGTCAGCATAGCAAAGAAGTAGGATCACTTCAGAAAATATGTAATGTGAGGTGCTTTTTCCCTCTCTTGCAGGAACTTAAACCAAATTCTTATTTCTGCTAAGTGACAAAAAGCATGTGTATAGGTTGAGAGAGAGAAAATACTACCAGATAGTTGTTCTTCTACTTGCTCTAAAAGAGTGAAAATAATCTCCACCTACTTTTTCTTGCCCCTGCTTCCTCCTTGCCCAAAAGGAAAACATTTGAAATTGAGTCAGTTCTTAAATAGAACTTTCCAACGGAAACTAGCATTACAAACATAGATATTCAGTATTTTACCCCTAGGATTTATTCAAAATAGTCTGAGCCTCTACACTGGCACTAAAAATACATTTTCCAGTTCTCACTGTTGGCCAAAGCAGGGGTTAAAAGCAGCATTCTGACCTTAATTTCCAGTACATAAAAGTAACACTGTTAAAACAATCTGTGTAAGGCAGCAGCTTGTTCCCCTCTGTTCATCCGTCCCTGAGCAGTGCTTGGTTTAGCTCAGGTCTGCAACAGTCTGCCGGCAGGGAGGAGCGGTGCTGTTCTGCGAGTAGCTTTTCCCCTGAGCAACGCTGTTGCCCGGGAGGATTCTGGCGGTGGCTGGCACTGAAGTGACCATGACAGTGCGGTAAATGTCGAGATAGTGTCTCTACGAAGTTGAGTGCCCTGGAGTTTGATGGGCGTTCTGGTTGCTGGACTCGACGCTGGTTTGGACGCTGTTGCACCCAGCAAGGTACAGGGTTCACTGCTGCCCCAGCTGCTGGCAGTTCGTGTGCCAGGAGCCTTCGTATCACTGCTGACACTGCTCACACATGAGGAAAAGTCTTAATGGAGGACAGCTTGTTTTTCTGTTTGTACTCTAACAGGGTCAGGTACCACCTGCACAAGACAACTTCGAGGCTGCTTTTTCAATGCAGTGTAGTCCAACACTTGGTGAAAGTTGCATGTACTTCATATCTCCTCGATGCTTGGAAACAGATTTTAATCTCCAGGTCTCCATTCCGATCTGGTCTGGATATTTCTAGGCTTTCATTAGCTAGTGCTATTTTCCTGCCCTTTTTACCTTTTCTGTCATTCCTTGTGTAATTCTGCAAAATGTAAGAGCAAACATTTGGAGTAGATAGAGACCTAACTATGTATATGCTCTCCCTGGGCAGTGAGGGGGGACAGGATCACAAGACTAGGAGTTCAGCATCAAGTATAAAGTTGGCAGTTTTAAGTGAAGACTTTTAAAGAAGAGTTTAAAGCTAGTAGGGAGAAAAGAGAAAGAAATGAGAAAAATAAATAAATACACTGGCTTTAAGTTAAGATGCTTCAAATGCAGGAGTAATGCTTTTGTGTAACGTCCGTATGTGCATGTGTGTTTTAAAGCAAAGTGTTCGCAGATCTCCCTGGTGCTGTGCCTATTGATCAGCAACGGTCTTTTACAGACACCCTTAATAACCCAGTTAAAATACATCAATGTATATAGTGCAAAAGGTCCCCCACTGAAGAGGGACCTTTTCTGTCATTCTACTGTGAAGACCAAATGTGTTATTTGGCTTCTCTGGTGTTACAAAAGCTTTACACACTGTATTTTACACATCTGTATTTTAGCCTACAGTATGTGTTGCACAGAGCAAAAAACAATCCTATATGATAGAGCATTCGGTCTTCAATCAGCATCAGAATTTAGTCAGAGTAAATTCAGCTATGACAGAAATCTATGATCATTTGTGTTCTGCTTTGCGATCCACCAAGTAATTATAAATTCTGTGAGAGGTGATGCCAGGCTCTTGTTGTTCTTAAGGGATGTTACATTTCCACTGTGATTTCAATAAATCCTAGTTACTGTTTTTGCAAAGAGGTGGTTGGGTGGTTAGTTTTTCTTGCAGAGGTCTGGTTATGGTTGTGACCCTGCTAACTTGAAGCCACATCCCCCTTGTGAGCAAAGGGCTGGTTCTGCACTCAGTAGGAGATGAAAAGTTTCTAGTTGATCAGAAGAAGCAGTAGAAACTCCCAGACAAAAACGTTTTCATAATTTCATCTGCATGATAAATAAGGGCTTTTGAAGTAATGTTTTGGAGTTTCTCAGATGGTGTTACCTGCATAGCTTATGCAGAATAAACAGATTGCAGGATGTGGGCTTCTCTCTTTTTTCCACATGCTTGTGTGATGGTAAAAAATGGAAAAGCAGGAGGCACTCAACAGTGCAGTAGTACTGAGCCTGTGAGGGTAAAGGTCTGAGACCAATGGAGAGGTAGAAGAGGTTAGAAAGGCCTTTTTGGAATGCTCGGCTTGGGTGTATTTCTGCTCCAGATGAAGCTACTGCCACAGAAGTCATCATGGCTTTGTGAATTTATATTTCTCCCATTTCAACAAACACCTGTAAATTGTAAGGCATGCTTAAAATACTGTGTTTATAGTTCTAAAATGGATGAATGCAAACATTTGAGGTGCTTGGACCAGTGTATTCAAGACTAGGTGGATATTTTGAAGTTGCATTCAGAGCTGCTGTAACACAGCAAGTTTTCAGAGATGCCATGCTCCCCTACATCAGTACAGACTGCTAGAAACAGCAGGCACTTTCCACCTCTAAAATATGGCTATTTAAGCACCTTATTGTAGACATTTCATTCTGAAAATGGGTGCTTTGAACTTGAAGGTGCCTTCACCTATATATAGCTAGCCTCAAGCAGGATACCACAAGTTTTTATTGCTTGTTACATTTTAGAAAATACTATCCTCATTGTGTTTGTATCACACCGTGCCCCTTTCTTCACACATCAGAAGCTCTTGAACAGATCTGCACACTACAAAGAATCTTCGTAGAAGTCTTCCTTCCCATTTCAGACCTCTTAAAAAAGCTCTGTATAACTTACCCATTTTTCAGAGGTGCAAGTATAAGTTACAAACTTGGCTAGATTGTCACGTGAAGCTGCTTTTTTTCCTTGCTCCCTGTCATAGTGCAGTGAGTGTAAAGGAATATATTTCAGTCTCATGGAGGCTTCTTAACTCTGCATTTCTGTACCGTAGCTGTCTCTAATTTGCATTTGGAAGTTTCTTACGTTTTACTGAGGTATTAAATCACGCTTTCAAGAACAAAATTTGCTGAAAAAAACAAAGGGGCTGCTTGTTTGGGGCCTGATGAATAGAGCTGCAAATAACTAGGAGGCATCAGCTGCTTGTTTGTCATTTGTTTCTTCAGATGGAAGAGCAGTGCTATTCGATGTGATCTCTCATCAGTTTTCTTTGCTAAAGAGTGATGGCTGACAGTTTCGCTTCTCTGTGCTCTCTTTCAGGTGAGAAACCATACAAGTGCACATGGGAAGGCTGCGACTGGAGATTCGCTCGCTCGGATGAACTAACGCGCCACTACAGGAAGCACACGGGGGCAAAGCCCTTCCAGTGCGCCGTCTGCAATCGCAGCTTCTCCCGCTCCGATCACCTGGCTCTCCACATGAAGAGGCATCAGAACTAAAACCCGGACTTGTCACTGAGGCTGTTTTGTATCTATGCAATTTCCTATTGACTCTCAACATACAACTGAAATTAGTTTAATTTTTGAGTATGGGTTATCCATTTAAAAGAAATCTCAAAAGAAACTGGAAATGTATATTTTGTATATTTATGCGGGAAAAGGGAAGACACTGTATCACAATACCGGAGTGTTTGGTCATTTGTTTGCTTTCATAATGTATATGGCTTTAGTCAGCAGGTTCATCTCTTTACAAGTATTATATCTCAACACATTGCAGCTTCATACATATTTTTTCCTCTTGCGGTGTTTTGACCAAAGCACTGTCATTATGGTGACAGTGTTTGGTAAACAAATTAATGAGAGGATGCAGATGAATGCACACAGTGGAAAAGCCATAAACTGTAATCTGTCAGGTTTTTACTGGACATATTAAGTACATGTGTTTTGTGGTTTTTTTTTTAATGTTAAGGAGTTCTGTGGATATAAAATACATAGAAAAATTCATAAAAAGCCATAGAACAAAATACTTTGTTCTGTGTGTTGCATGTTTGCTATGACAAAGATTTTGTAAATATGCAGATCAGCTTTTTTAGGTTTATTACAAAAGTTTTCTAAGAAACATCTGAAAAAAGCAGTTGTTTTACATTTGATAACATGGCACATTTATGAAAAAAAGTTACTTATATACCTCTCAAAACAGAACCAACTTAGCTTCATTTTTCTTAAGAGAACTGAGCTAAGCCTTTCAGATGTTTTGTACCTGTTAACTCAATGGTGTGCACTGAACATTCAAAGCAGGATTTTGTTTTCAAGTTGCTTAAAAGGGCAAAACATGCAGAGTGAACTGTAAAGTCAATGTCGGAAGCTGAAATAACGGGGATAGTCAAAATGAACACAGAATGTTAAACCTCTTACTATAAGCTAAACTTAGTATCTCTTTAAAAAGAAGGATTTAGGATGCAGTTTCCATACACAGACATGTTAAGCTGGTTCAGCACCAGTATGATCTAGTTTGATGTGGATATTGCATGTAATTTACTAGGAGGTAAAGGATACAGTAGTTTTGTTTAAAATTACAGTGCAGTTTAGTTAATCCACTGTTCAGATTGACACGCAGGGGAAAATTTACTGCTGACAAAAGTAGCTGAAACTCCACTGAAGTCAAAGAAATGGTGCCCTTTTTTGCTAACAATGACTTTGATCCACCGTGCTCAGCCTTGAAATAGTAGATGAAGGGCCAAAGATGAGGTTAGACCAGGTAGGATTTGGCCAGACAACAGGAGAAAACCAAACAAAATAGTAAGTGTCCGAACTTCACAAGCCGTAATATTAAGCTGTCAACCAAAGCCTAGAATAGACAATCAAAATACCAAAAAAGGGTCTTGCAGGAAACCCTGCTTTGTTAAAACCGTTATTTGTCTTTATTTATTTGTGGTATATGATAGACTCTTTTTTTTAAGACAATTTTACGTATACTTGATAAATTATAGTTTTGTTTGTTATAGTTAGAAATGTTGCTCTTAATGTAAATAGTTGACAAATGATGTAAATAATTTTGTAAGGCTTCAAATGTTTATACGTGGAAACACATGCATAAATTGGTTGCTGTTTTGCTTCTTTTGCCTCCCCCTTACCTTATTTTTGTATTGTGGTATTTCCTATGCAAATGATGGAGCAAACAGCTGTATAGTTGTAGAATGTTTTGAGAGAGAATGAAATGGTTTATATATAAAGACTCTTTTTTTTTTTTTTTTGCAAAATAAAACAAAGTGCCTAATGTGTGTGCGTGTGCGTGCATGTGCTCTCCCTAGCTCCCGACAATGAAAGTTCTGTGTCTTTGCAGTGGGAGCTGGAAATCATGGCAATATTAAGCAAAGAGTGTCTGTTCTGCATAGGAGGGGCTGCCCCTTTGGAAAATACCTGGCACTTCTGCCTCCTGCCCTGATGGAAATAATAAATGTGAAGGGATAAAGGATGGTGCTTTTCTGCCATCTGAACTTTAAAGGAAGTGTATGGTTGCCTGAAAACGATTGCAATTGTCCATCTACAGTAGCATGATTGGAAATCGAAGGTTGGGTGTATAGAGGTATACAAATTCTTTCCCACTTTCAAAATGGTTAAAACCTATTCACGCTCATCAGCAGTGATGCCCAAAAGATGTTTCTCCCCAGAAAGGTGCTTTCATGCCCTAGAAAGGCAGGAAGGTCCCATAACAGCACTATACAATGCCTGCCACAGCAGTATCTCCTTTTCGGTATTTCTCCCTTGGGAGAAGGAAATATAGTTCACTTGAAAAATTTGAGTGGATGTGTATGTTGAAATTGGGGTGGGGGTACATCTGTCGTCTTCTCCTTTTCTCCAAGCTTAAAAAAACCAGGCATGCTGGACTTCTTAGAAGAAATTTATCTTAAACTAATAAAAGAATCAATTTAAATACAATTTATGAGCAAATTATGATAATCCAATTAAATTAATTATCAATTTATTCAAAATTCCATTATTTTCTTGTAAACTCTGACTCATAAATCCTTTCTTGAATTTCTCTGTTCTTTCCTTACAATCAAACTTTGATTTTTTTTAAATTAATTTTTCCCTCTTAATTAACCTCTCCCCCATGTCAGCTAATCCATCCTTTTAAAAAATACCTAGGGTAGCGTGAACAAAGTCAGTGAAGATGTTGTTAATTACCAAGAAAATCTCCCTGCATCTCACTAACTGCATAACTGCAAAGATAAGGGCGATGTTTTGGGGAATAGGGAGAGACCTCCCAGAAGCATTGCTGTGGCATTGCCCTTTTCTGATCTAGCCATTAGAAAAATGCCCAAGTTTCTTTGAGGCATTTCTGCTTGGAGAAGAAGCTGGCAGTGAATTGGGCAATCGTCCATGTGCTGTCACTGTGAAAGAACTACCCGAGATTATTTTGCTGAGCACAGGGTAGTGCAACAGCGGTGACATGGAGCATTGGGAGAGCAGCAAGCTTCCCTGTTTAGCTCAGCCCTCCAATCTGGGGCTGGACTGGTGGCGGGTTTGGTAGCCCTTTGCTGTGTTTTGTCTCAAGTCCGTAGATGAGGGCAGCACTCGCTTCTGTGTTTCCCATGCCTGTTCACAACAAAAGCCCGCTGATTGCAGGATTTGAGCCTCCAACATTGCCTCATACTTGTTTTAGATGTTTCTATTGCTCAGCTACCTGGTTGCATAAACCAGCTTAATGGTTTCATATTAATCTTGAATGAAAGGCCATAATTAGGCCTGTCTACTTCAGCAGCATTTAATCTAATGCAAACAGAGAAAGACACAACAGACCCATGCACCAGGATACATTACAAAACCAGAGGTAGAGGGGCTTTCTTCTCTGGCAAGTGCTACAGCTACAATGCAGAATATTAATATGGGAGTTCAACAACATGCCTAATCTAAAAACCTGCAAGAAAAAGCAGGTCACCATAGCCCCCCACTCAGTTCCTTTAAAGTAGTTGCGCAGAGTCCCCCAAGGATCTGAGGCCACTCTCAAATTCAACTCTCCAATTAGCCTTCAGAACCCAAATTATCATTCCATATGAAGACGGAAAATTCAGTGGGCCAACTGGCTTTTCTGGTGGCCGTATGAACACCTTGTTCTCTTGACTGGGTGCTGAGTTCCTTCCTGTGGTTTTCAATGTGAGTTTAGGGCCTGACCTTCCACAGAAGTACCTCTATGCCCACTTGGGAACCTTGTAACATTCATTACATGGGATCCTTGCATGGATCCTTGTTTTAACCTGGTAGGTAAGGTGCCACAAGACTCTGCCATGCTTTGCAGCTATAATAGTCGTGTTGCTATTGACCTTCAGGAATGAGAGTCTGGCTCAACAACTGACTATTAGCCAAAAGAATGTGATGGATTACTCATGTGCTGAATAATGCATCCTGGCACTTCAAATGTATTAGGACAGAGGGACTTTATTAGCGGCTGTAAGTAGCAGAAGCAGCCCAATGGGTATGCTTTTAATAAAGTGACTTGCATACTTTGCTTGTGTTTACTTATTCCTCTTCTCCACTACTAACCATTAGGTTGTTGTTGTTGTCATCATCTGTTGTGTTTCCAGCACCCTCAGTAATGCTGCTTGTTTAGGATTTGGGATTTAAGTAGACTCAGGCAACTGGAGAGCCCATGACAGACTTGGCAGAGCCCAGTCTGTCTACAACAAAGACCTGTCAATGGTAAACGAAGAGTGCCATGGTTCCCCAGATTCCTTTGATGTTGTTATTGTCCTTTTTAAAAATAGTTACTGTTTATATATAAATATGTATGTAAATATATATTGGCATGTGTGTGCAGGTTCATTTGCATATTCAGTTCAACTCTGAATCCTGGCAAAGACTTACTTTTTGCCAACCTGTCACACCACCGAACTCCGCAGGTTAGCTCAGGAGAAAATGGGTGCTCCCATGTTTCCACACCAAATTTCCAAACAGTTGGGGAAATTTAAAAGTCTGTGTTCCCTTCTATGTGTACTGTATTGAGAAAGAAATCCAACAGTGAATTTCTGTTTCCAAGGAGTAAATTATTGCTTTGTTTTGAAGTCTTATAAACGAGAGAGAGAGAGAGAGAGAGAGAGAGAGAGAGAGAGAGAGAGAGAGAGAACTGTGGTGAGAGGGAAGGGTGGTTGTATCGCAGAAACAAAGTGAATTCACACTGAAAAAGAGAGTAACTCTTCAGCTAGGCAGATTAGAAATATGAGTTATTTCTGCAGAAGAACCTGCACAGGTGGCAGCAGATAGCATTCTGAAATGAGGTATCAAGGGTAGCTTGTCAAAGCAGGCCTCCTCCTTCCTTAGCTCTGCTTTTCCTTCCTGGTCTCTGCCCCATCCTGTTTCTGTTGCCCATCAGTCTCAGGCTTAATTCGTATTTCCCACTGCTCCCATAGCTCCAGCTCCTGCTGCTCTTTCCCAGCTGACTGGGCAGCTGCTGGCAACAGGCTTGGGCCAGTGCTGCCCCTGCTTCTGTCTGCATGAGGCCCACTGCTGCACTTCTACCGGTTGGGGCACACTTCTCACCTGCCTCTGTTTTTAATTTGTGGCACAAGGAATAACAGTGTGGCTTGTTATTGACTTGTGGCTTTCTGCCAGTCTCCCTGTGTTGTATAACTGGGGCAAACTTTTTCCTTTATGTACAGTGCTTGTGTCAATACGTAGGACATGCTGTTACTACTTTTGCACCTAGTGTGATCTTTTTTCCGCACAGGGCTCAGGAAGATAATTACAACCTTCTTCTTTTCATGGGATCGAGCAAAGGCATGCTGTGCCAAGGGAGATTCTTGCACTTTTGAGGCATTAACTCAGAAAGGTTTAACTCTTCAGAGTGGAGTCATGGGGTTTCCAGCCTTGGTTTCTGCGCTGACCTCCCCATTTTCCTGCCTTACTCTTTTTTAATGTAGTAGAGTCTGTTCAATGACTTTGGCTACAGAAAACTTTAGAAAAATATGGTTTGTCTGTTTTTCAAGAAATGAGGAGTCACACTGGCTGATTTGCCATCTCCCCTGCCTGGGAAATCAAAGTCAGAAGTCTCTTCAAAATAATATCCCCAAAGGCCATTTCTCTTCCCAGCCTCAGTTGTTGTTTCTGTTTATACTTTTTTTGTTTAGC